CCTCCTGAGGGAGTCACCAGGGCAGCTAACTACCATGTCTTATTCCTTTTTTTTTTTAATTCTCAGCAGCAAGCATGCTATCAAATACATGTTGACTGTTCAGAAATGTTGGTTGAATAAATAAGTCATTGGTATGTAAAGATGAATCTTACAAAAATGCCACAGTGTGTTTCATGTCTGTTAGATCGAGGAAAGACCATTTCTAATGCGAACTGTTGCTAAAATATTATGTTCTGCTTCTAACCTTCTGTCCAATCTCAACTCATGTCACATAACGTCTGTGCTCCTTGAAAGTAAAAACCATGTCTTAATCATTCTGTTTCAATGTGAGCTCCAGGTGGGTTTTGCTCAGGGCTGCATGCCTAGCACTTAGAACAGGGCTTTGTGCTTAGTAAGGTTCCATACGGACTTGGATTAATAAATGAATGGTTTTTAGCCCTTAGCACAGAGCTAGGCATTCAAGCAAATATTTGTTGAATTAATTATTAAGCAAGGGAAACACTCTCTTTTTCTTTCTTTCTTTCTTTTTTTTTTTTTTACCATACTACACAGGAAGTTTTCTTCATCCACTACTGCTGCAGGAAAAGCAGACTCACAAGGACTCTCACTTCAAGATGTTGTCATTTTGGGCTTCTGCCAACTCTCGAGAAATCCGTTTCAGTTGATCCTGCTTTTTTTTTTCTCTTCCACTGCCACTATCCTCCTCTCCTCTTCTGCCCAAGGTTTCAGAGAACTGTAGCACAAGGCTCCATAGGCCACACTGAGGAACAGGGCGGAATAGCAGCCAAGCTTCATGAGCGGAGAGACCTGCACTGGAGGCACCATCTTTCCCTGACCTTGGAAACACACTCTTTCTAATGTTCCTTTCCAATATTTCCAACTGAGACAAAGTGGATAGTTAGGCAGAAGTCAAACAGTCTGGGTTTGAATTCTGGCTTTTCTACTTACTAACTTGGCAACCTGGAGTAAGTTACTGAACCTCTGTGTGCTTTAGTCTTCTCACCTGTGAAATGGAGATAATTTTTCTAACAGGATTATAAAATCCATTGAAAGTATACATAAGCCGGGCTCGGTGGCTCAGCCTATAATCCCGCGCCTTTGGGAGGCTGAGGTGAGTGGATTGCCTGAGCCCGCGGGTTTGAGACCCGCCTGGGCAGCGAGACCTCATCTCTACAATAAATAAAAAAATCAACCAGGCGTGGTAGCACATGCCTGTAATTCCGGCTACCCGGAAGGCTGAGGTGAAAGAATCGCTGGAGCCCAGCAGGTCGAGGCTGCGGTGGCCAGGAGTGACCACTGCACTCCAGTCTGGGCGACAGATTGAGACTCCAACTCAAAAAAAAAAAAAAAAGTATACATAAAATATTTAGCACAGTGCCTGGCACATGGTAATCGCTGATTTTGTTTTTAATGACCATATCAGTATCTTAACGACCTTCAGTGGCTCCCTTTTAGCTACAAAAATAAGATCTAAAGTCAAGGTCTCCATAATTTGGCCCACTGTCCCTCTCTTTCTAGTCCCGTCTTCCCACACTTTCTAACGCTAGCTACCCTTTACTGGCTGCTACCTGTGTCAGGTAGTCTGCTGAGTAGTGTGTATTCATCAGCTTGTTTCTCGTCTCAAACAACCCAATGAGGTAGGACTTAGTACTGTCCATATTTCACTGATGATAAGACCAAGACCAAGGAAGAAAAAACAACTTTCCCCACTGATGATAGGACCAAGACCAGGAAAGCTGGATTCCATCCCAAGACTCTCCGACGTGGAAGTTCACACTCTTGTTTACTGGTCTCTGAAATCCTTGCCATGTGAAGTTCCATCAGACTAGCACTACTAGCATTACCTGGGAGCTTGTTAGAAATGTAGAATCCAGCTGGGCTTGGTGGCTCAGCCTGTAATCCCGCGCCTTTGGGAGGCTGAGGTGAGTGGATTGCCTGAG